AATCGTGGGTCCTTTTTAAGTGGTGGGTCCTTTTTAAGTGGTGGGTCCTTTAGATTACAAAAGATGGCACACGCGCGAACAAGGCGCGTGACAAAATTATTTTCACTAAGCTCGCACGCGAAGCCAAGTGGTGACTGGTGAGAGTGGTGGGGACAAAAACGGCGTGACGTTTTAGTAGGCATTAAACGGTTGAGGCGTTTGGTGCGGTTAGTATTGTTTTAAACGTTATTCACTTTATTTTTTCATTCACGGAAAATAGCGTTTTGGTCAACGAATGTGTATATGTTTTCTCGAAAGCTTAGTGTTTATTCTCACGAATAAAGAAAACTTTGATAGGTAGACTTAGATTCAATAAAATGAATTTGGAAATAAGATGGAATCTTCTATATGAGTAAAGAAAAGTAAATTTTAATTTTATGAAAATCGAAATTCCGACTTGAAGCCGTCCATACCGGAGATTTGCAAGAACACATCACATGTCATTTGTCGAGGGACAAGATTCAATAAGTCAGAGAAAGTGAGAACCGAGGAAGAGGTTGCGTACCGGCCAAGATCAACTTACCTTTTTAATTGTCTAAAATTACAAGATTCGCAAGATCGTTAATTGATGTTTTAAACCTAATTTTAATGATTTGGTCCAACACTACTAAAACGTAGTAACAGTAGTGTAAAGAGAGGATGAATCTCATAATCAATTTCCTCTGTTCTTTCCAACAATTTAGCCACTGAACTTTGATTGTAAACGCCAATCGCCAAACACAACACTGGAAGGGACAATCATGGTTCAAAAAAAAAACACACATCTTTCTAGGGACCAAGATGGACTAAAAACTGTAATGGAGTTCATGGTTCAGATAAAGCCATCTTCTTTATGAACAGAAGAGATTGTTTAAGGTTGCTGTTTAGAGATTTGTACTTCAAAACATGATTAAAAGAATCTGTATTATACTGAGACAATATTCAAGTGACTGAACAAAAAGGGCAATGGTGGATAGTTACAGATTCTGATCTCAAGTTTAAGAAACAAACGAGTTTTAACAAGGTTCTTCTTATTCCTTGCATGTCTCTCATACAAAAAAACAGATTGTAAACTACCTTTTCTCCTCCCATCCCTCGATATTGTTATTGTCCCACCTCGCTTCTTCTTGTTCATCTACAATATCAAATAGTAAGAGAAACACTCAAATTTGTAAGCTAGAGCTTGTAACAACAGATGATGGATTCCATTTATTTTAAGATACAATGACTATGAACATAACGGGACACAGACATATTGGTAAATGGAAAGTAACATGTAGCTCGATTATATGGAAACACACTGAAGAAGAAGAAAAGGTTTTCATTACTCACACATTTCTGCTAAAATCACAGTTTTATTATGTGAGATCAAAATCAAAAGAGATTCTAGTCCTCCTAGCTTATGATTCTACCATTGCTTTCCATAAATCTTTGGGGATTTTTTACAGAAGCAAAGATTTCGGGACTTTAGAGGAAAGATCGAGACTTTGTTTTTGCAATAGTGACAATTCTCCAAACTGAGATGAGATATCTGAAAACTTCACTTGAATCCAACTTTTGTTTTTTTGCAACACTGAAGTAAAACACAGATTGGAAATCTCTGAGACGCATCATGAAATTGTTCGAGACGCATTGATAGATCATCAACAAACCATTGATAATCATTCACCGGGCATAAAAGGATAAAATCTATATCTAGTTGCACAGAAGCAGGATTCGAGCGATCGAAAGAGAAGGAATACAAGACAGACCTTGTTGTTGTTGAGAAGGTGGAGATTGAAGAGATTGTTGGTATTGTTCAGCCTTTTCAAGGAAAGGCTTGTAGCCAAGTTGGAGAGACATGTAACCAAAAGCCAATGATCCCAAAACCACCACAGATGATCGAATCGCGTTGTCCATCGCCGTCCGCTTCA